CAATAAGAGAGTAGGCATTCACTGACAAGCTGCAGTTTTATTATCAAGCTCATGTCATCTCCAATTGGCTGTTTCCTACTGAGCAAAGAAAATTGGTTAATGTGTCCGGTCAATCTGGCTATCATGAAGGGTGACTTGTGTGCTCATTTCCTGTGTCTTTCATTACGCTTCCAAAAAATAAAAAAATTAAAAAATTCCTTTGTTGGCCTGGATTGCCAGGTTGGGAGGTCTGTTAAACTAATGAAATTATGCAGCACAGCTAAGTGTGGAGTCCATATGGAGAGCGCTTCCTCTGCATCCAGTGGGTCACCAACAAACCAGTCCGTATCTATCTACAGCATGTGAAGTTTGTTTTTAGTTACAACGAGAAATTGTAAGTAGTGGTAAGCGAAGTATGGACCCAACAGATAAATTATTTAGCATGGTTACTGGGATTTTTGAAAACGGGAAATAAATAAAACATTCCTTTCTAAAGCTGTGTTAAATTTCAAACAAACTTTCAGTGTGCTTATAATATCTGTTTATGTAATGAATGTAGGAAGATAAAAGACACGGGTGATGCACATTGCAATCAAACCTAATTTTCTGCTCTCCATCTTTCATAAAACTTAAATACAATTCCCACATGGCAGAGTGGAAACTGATTGGCTATTTGAGAGGCTACTTCACTGCCCTCTGTCTCTCTCTCTCCTCCTCTGTCTCTCTCCTCCTCTTACTGTCTCATAATGTCTCCAATAAGCCCTCAAATTCTGCCCATATCAGCCAGTGAGCATCTTCTGGTTCCCCTCTTTTTCTGAGTTCAGCTATCCTCATTTGCTTCATAAACAAGTAGTCCGAGACCTCTGATGTTTATCATGACATCTTCTGCTTTAGCTCTGATTTGTTAAACATCATGATTAATTAATGAAGGAGGATGCAAATATAGCTTTATGCTCTGCTTTGCACAGCCGCTGCCGCTCCTAACCACTGTGAAGGCATCTATATGGAAACAAGCCCTTTTTCAACGATGACTATTAAACACTAGCGATGGTTGCAAATAAAATAAAAATATACACATTATCCAAACTTGTGTGTTCTGGGAAAAGAGATAAAATAACTTTGAGTTATTCCCCAGAGCAACACTCTTTGGTTTGACTGCACGTCCTCCCAGTTGTATCTATCATATCAGCTCAGTGAAGAGACATAAAAGTGTTTATTAATAATTTAATATTTCATCGTGGTGTGCTATGTACAGTAGGGGCAGGTTTATTTGAAGAAATACAAAAATAAACCCCAAGGCAAGATAATATTTCTTTATGTACAGGCGAGCTCAAATAAAACAGATCTGTCTTAGAGACTTAGTAGACCCACAAGGGGACAAATAAACACAAATTGCAAAAGGTTTCTCAAAGTGCTTCTCATTGCCATAACTGCCTACACATGACAGCAGGTTTCAATATATACATGTCTACTAAACTTACTCTGTAGGAAGCTCCAGACCAAAGGAGTTATCAAAAGATGAAAGGAGAAAAAAAAAATGAAATAAAGAGTGCTTTTCTATTCATTGGCTCAGTGGCTATTGAAGTGTGGGAGCAATTTCAATACAATATACCACTGAGGCTTGGATAAGACTTTTTGGTTGAATCCTTAAAAACAGACCTATATGTATGCGTGCGTCTGTATGCGTGTGTCTCTTGGAGGAAGGGTGTTTCAAGGTTCGGACAAACGCAACATTGTCACGCTCATAAAAGAGAGGGACTCTGTCACGGAGCCTGCCAGCTAAAGGCTTAAATCACATGCCTGGAATACACAATGACACTACACCCACACACGAACACACACAATCTCCCTAAATTATGCAGAGTAAGACCATCCCTCGAAGCATCCATTCTCAACATCTGCTCCAGTTAAAATGTTGGCATGCATATTCTCAACCTAAACAGATCAAAAGAGTGAAAAATCCCAAGCAGAGTAAATACGCAACTTTAATGGTCACAATCACATCACTGAAAAGTTATTTTTCCTTTTCCACACATACAAATGTTTGTGTATGTGTGGAAAGTATTGCAGTCCATGCTTCCTGAACCCTGAGGGATTTTGCAATTTTGCTACATACTGGCTTTATTACTCTGATTCCATTCAGAGTAAATTCCTTTAATGCCTTAAAAATAAAAAAAAAGTTGAAGTTATATATATGTACAGGGAGAGAGAGAGCGAGAGAGAAAGAGAGAGCTGATGGTGATTTTTTTTTCTTTTCGCAACATGTATTCCTAAATGAACCATCGATATCATGGATTCACTGTAACAAGTTCAGTGAATGTCAATCAGACCTGCAACAGAGGAATGCTGTAAGAGGGGCTGCTTTTCAAAAACCTCCTATAGCTGATGATTCCACATATATCCTTTCTTGATAAAGCAGAACTCTTTTAATAAACTGACGAGTGACAAGTCAGTAGATACTGGAGCCCTGTTTTTCTTGCCACTCTCATGTCATTGCTACCCCACAAAAGGCAGAATATCGCCACCTTCAGGCAGCTTTTACAGCCTTTTTTACAGAGGCACTCATCTTAACAAGAGTTATATCAGACATAACATTACTTTTTTTTTTAAGCAAGAATTAATACACAAGCTTACATCAGTGCAGCATCTTCTGTTTGACGGGTCGTAACATTGACAAAGTAGAGTTTTAAAATGTGATCACAATGAAGAGTTAAAGAGGAAAGCCTCTAAACAAGTCAGTAAGTGACTTCCAGTTTGGTGAATCTGAATCCATTTCCAGTCACTTTTAGCGCAGGCTCTGTTAAGCAAAAATATTACAGTCTATTCATCCTGAACCCCGAGGAATTTTGCCACAGACTGCTTTTATTATTGATTCCTTACAGAGTAATTTCCTTTTACGCCTTAAGCGGAATTAGGCTTTGCTGTATATCATCCATCCTTCTCTGGAATTCTGTTTACTAATGACAATATTCTCCACTATGTAATGTCCTTGCATAGTGATGAGGATAATAAGGAAAGTGGAGCTTTGTTGAATTCTTTATATCATTCCTGTATTCAAGCTAAACACCATGTCAGCCCCTCTCCTAGTGCAAACACTATAAAATATTATTTGTGTAAACCAGCTCTACAGATGAAGACCACACATTGCAGGCAGTTAATGTTGCTCCACAATGCACAGATGAAGCCAGCACCACAAAGGTGCCCTTGTGAAGAGGTGATATGTTCATCCAGTTTATTCATCTATTCATTTGTTTTTCCTACTCAGCCACACCACTGTGGCAACCATAGTGACAGATGGGCCGAGAGGCCTTGGATCGATAGAAGGGGAATTCTGTCTTTGTTTCCTGACATTTTTACCATAGACACTTTCCTGACTCAGGTTACTTACTGTCCGTGCGAATGGAGTGAGGGTAGGAGGAAGAAGGGAAGAAATTGATATGTTTCTGAACAGCTTCTGAGGAAACTTAATGCCTCAGGCCATCTCCCTCAACACAGGTTTCTATTGAATAATACAATAAAGCACCCATACGTTGAAGAGACCTTCCGTAAACAAGCCACTATAGAATGTGTTGATCCCTCTTGTTTTTTTTTTTGTTGTTTAATTTCTGCCTTTAACAGTTAAGGAGAAAAACACTCACAAAGAAGAGTAAGACAGCCTAATTCAGTCCAATTCATCATGAGTAGATTAGCAGAAAAACTGTCTGTGGAATGGACCAGCAATTATTTTGTCCCTCATAATAGGAAGTATTAAGTCTTTGTGCTGACCTCTGGCCTTCATAGCCAGTTCATAAAAGAATGTGACACAGAACAGCAGACATTTGCCTTCTTTCCTGATAGAAATATGCCACTTCATCATCCCAGACTCCATCAGGGAACAAGCAAACAGCTTAACCTAGACTATGATAGTTGAAGTCCCAGAGGATAAATGGAGATAATAAAGATAACTGGTTTTAAAATGCACCTATTTTTTTTCTATAGACAGCTCTCTAAAATTACATCTGTTTTGAAGAAGAAGTAGATAAACATAATAAATATGGAGAATAAATTTGTGCTATATTTGGGGAATATAAATTAACAAAATAATAGCAAAATAATTAACCCAGATGAAACTACATTTAGAAGGGACAGATATCAATCAAAACTGGAACAACAGCAAGAAAACAAGACACTGGCTCACTTCACTGTCACTGCCCATTAGATGTTGTGGAATACGCCACTGGCTTAAGCTGGGTTTAATCCTTGTCGACCAGGACAGACCTTTAATGGGTTTAAGGACAAAGACTTTGAGAACTTATCACGTTGGAAGCTTATGTACCCTACTACTTGGCACAAAGACGTACAAAGTAGTCAAGAAAATAAGTACAATCTCCTTATCACCAGGAATTAAAACCACTATAAGTATGAAAGAAACTAGAATATAATGACATACTAAATAGTTGTTGGTTAGAAATAGTTTCCTCTTCATATAAGCTGTTGTTTTGACCAACTAAATGCATTACATACTAAATACATAGTTGTGTTTTTTTTGTAGAAAATTCTTTGGGGCACGCTTAGGTCTAAATTGGCATTAAGAAAGAAATAGGGCTAATCCCTGTTTAATAGCCAGATAACAATTATAGAACAATGTACTTATTTTAGTTTCTGGGGTAAATTGCTGTCTCCGACAAGAACAGAAAACTTTAAAGTGAAATAAAAACAACTCCAGAGGCTGATCTAAAAAAATAAATAAAAGTTGTTCTCACATATTTCCGGCACACAAAACAGATTTGTGTTGATGTCATCTGCTCTGTTCTATGTGAGCACCAGAATGGCAGTTTAATCCTTCTAATGCTCACCCCTCCCTTGCATCTTTTTTTTTATCACTGCTCCTGGGTCGCTCTGCCACTATCTGTCCTTGTCTCTTTTTTTTTTCATTTAAAGAAACAAAAGTAAGTGCTGATGTTGGAAATGGGAGCTTTGTGCAGCTTGTGATGTAAAAACGATGGTACCACAGTGAAGGAGAAGAATGCAATTTCTCTTACCTGTATGATGGACATGCGGTTAGTAGGTGTGTCTGTAGTGCTGGTGACTGGGCTTGTGAAGCTGGTGTGGCATCCCACGTGGCTTTGGGGCACGCTGAGGTTATTGGCAGTGGGTTTGAGGTACATGACCTCTGACCTTGGTGAGCTGAGTGGCAGGCGTGTCTGATAGTCAAAGTACATGGGAGAGGTGGCCAGGGAAGGGCTGCTTACCACATTCATCACATTCATGGCATCCCGCTCCTCCACTTCGCTTTGCACCAGCATGATGTCGTTCTTGTTGATCTTCTTCTTCTTGCCTTTACCCAGCTGTGGGTGCGAGTACTCTGCAATGCGACAATTATAAGTACGAATTTCCTTGTTCTCCCGCTTGCACTTGATTGCTATGGTCACCATGGCAGCTAGAAGCATGATAGATATGATGCTCAAAGTCACAATAAGAGGCAGTGACATGTCCCAGTTTTGATTGTCTTTCATGTGTGGAAGTCCATCTGGAGGACGCCCGTTGGAGGCCTTGACGATGAGTCTAGCAGCAGCAGTTAGAGTTGGCTTGCCATGGTCTGATACACGAATGATCAACTCAACAATGGTATTTACATCATCCCAGAAAGGGTGAGCCGTTCGCACTTCCCCAGTTATAGGATCAATCTCAAAGAGGTGTTCTTCGTTGCCATCAGAAATTTCATAGGTGAGTCTTCCACTCTCACCATAGTCGTTATCTACTGCTCTCACTGTGGTAACAATGTAGCCAACTCCAACATTACGTGGAACATGGATTTCAGCTGTGTCATTCTGGAGAAGCGGCAAAACTATGACAGGGATGTTGTCGTTGACGTCCAAGACACTAATGCGCACAGTTGCATTGCTCTCTAAGTGTGGAGATCCTGCATCTTTAGCAAGAACTTTGAAGTCAAAATACTTTATTTGTTCATAGTTAAAAGATCTTACAGCATAGATGGCTCCATTAGCGGCATTTACATTAACATAGGTGTTGACATCACCCCCACTCACGTTGGAGTTGATAATACTGTAGTACACAGTGCCATTCTGGCCTAGATCTGGGTCATGTGCCAGAACTGAACCTAGGTACTCCCCAGGGATGTTATTCTCAGGAATTTGAAGTAGGTAGACTGACTTGGTGAAGCGAGGAACATTATCGTTCTCATCCAGAATCTTCACCGTAAAAGATTTTGTGGAGTTTAAAGGAGGAATGCCATTGTCTTTGGCTACAATAGTAACGTTGTATTCATCTTGGACCTCTCTGTCCAGGGGCCTGTCTGTAACCACTGTGTAGAAGTTATCATAGTTCTCCTCAAGTTTAAAAGGAACATTACCCAACACCCTGCACTGGAGCTGCCCATTTCTTCCAGAGTCCTTGTCTGTGACACGGACCAGAGCAATGACAGTGCCTGGGGGTGCTGCTTCACTGATGGCTCCCTGTCTCACAGACACAAAGCCTATAGATGGCCAGTTATCATTCCTGTCAAGCACTTTAACGGTGACTTTACAGTGGCCCGGGATTGGATTGGGACCTAGATCTTTTGCCTGGACGTCAATCTCGATAACTGAGCTCTCTTCATAGTCAATTTCCCCCTGAATCTTTATGACCCCTGTTCTAGAGTCTATTGAGAATAGCTCACGGATTCTCTCAGGAGCATAGCCACTAAATGAATAGACGACTTGACCATTGTTTCCCTCATCAGGGTCTGTAGCATTTAAATCAATTAAAACTTTTCCAGGAGGTGAATTTTCAGGAATTTCTACAACATATGAAGACTGATCAAATACTGGACTGTTATCATTGGAATCTATAACTTTAACATTTATCTGCATTGTACCAGATCTAGGATATTCTCCACCATCAGTGGCTGACAAAATTAGAGTGTGATGGCTTCGTTCTTCTCTGTCCAGTGGACGCTGAATGACTAATTCTGGGAATTTGGTCCCATCCCCTCGGGATTTTACCTCCAATGAAAAGAGATTGTAGTCATCGCGAGTTATTTGATACGTTTTTAGGCCATTTTCCCCTGCATCAGGGTCATGTGCGCTGGTTAGAGGAAAGCGTGTCCCTGGCACTGCATTTTCAGAAATGTCGATGTCAATTTGATCAGAAGGAAAAGCGGGTGAGTTGTCGTTGATGTCCTGAATATCTATTTTTATCATGCATATCTCCTTGTCATTGGCAAACACCTCCATGGAGAGCTGGCACTTGGGGTTTCTCTTACACAATGTTTCCCTGTCGATGCGCTGCTTTGTGTACAGCAGTCCGCTTTGGGGGTCCACGTCGATAAGATGTGGGGCTGAGTTCTCCAACACCCTAAAGTTGGCTTTCTTACCCTGTCCTCCCTGCCCAATCTGTTCGAGTCCAAGCCTGGCATCTTTGGCAATGTTCCCAATCACTGTTCCTGGTCCCTGTTCCTCTGGGACAGAGTAATTCAAGTTTTTCAATGTCAAGGCTTGAGCCCACAACAGGAGGAAAAAGAAAATAGAAAGATGCATCTCCACTCAATAAAAGCTGCTAAAATCCGTGCAGTGATTATTCTATCTGTGACCTGTTGATATTCTGTTCAGATTTGATACTTCTATCACAACGGATAAAGAAAAGAGTCCAGTTCATCATGCGATGTCTTGACATTTGTCGCTGTAGATTGTCTTTGCTTTGTTGCTTTCTCTCCTCAGCAAGCAATCTGTGGTACCGAACACCTAATTTATATTCAGCTGAGCACCCAGACTCATCTTAACAATAATCAAGATCCAGCCTCCTGAATAGTCATTGCAAGTGTTCACTCATATCACCTAAGAAAGGAAAAGGAGAAAAAAAAAACACGTTATGTGAAAATCAATTAGTAAATCGGGAAAAAAACTAAATGAGCTGCAAGCCACCTTGCCAGAGAGAAATCAAATGAAATCAGATTCACTGCCAAGCCAAAAGTGAGACACAGCTCATGTGTAATTCATCTACACAATTATGAGAGAAGATTGTTAATTGGTTAACCTTGGAAGGCGCTCAGCCCCATAAATACACAGGCAGCAAGTATTCTCCTGCAGCCTATAATAACAAAACCCAAGATTCTGCAGGCAGTTTTAAATCTATATGTGGTGTGCATGCATCATCTGACCCCAGAGAGATAATGACCCATACATTTGTTGAAGGTGCTGACTGAAGTGTAACAGGGCAACTTTAATAATGCGGTAACGCCGCAGGCGTGAAACTGAGGATGGCCTATTGTAAGGGCTATTTGAAGGAGTGAATATAAAATGATCTTCTTACGCGCATTAACAAATCCGCATAATCCGGATATTTAAAATGAGCCTTATAAAAAGTCAGAAATGAGCTGCCAACATCTCAGCACAGCCGTTTAATTCTGTCCACTGCTGCTCTCCATTTCCTCAACTCTGCTTCTCTCTAAAGCTCAACAGTCCTTGAGAGAAGCTGTTGCGTCCGCATGTACGGGAAAAGGTTATGGAATAACACCGGTCTGAAAATGAGCAACAGTAAGAGCTTCAGGTGGAAAATCACAAAAGGCGATAAGACACAAAGAATATATATTAAATTAAAAAAAAACAATAAAAAAACACAATCTTACCACGGGAGAAACTGTTCCGCTAGTTCAAAAGGGTAAACGTAAAAAACATCAAAACAGTCAATTCCAGTGCGATGAAGAGATTGTTTAATTTCCACTTCACTAAAGGTACCACCCGTATCCTTCTCCTCCGTGAAGTAGGAAAGCCACAAGCCTCCGATGCACACGCACTCTACAGTACAGCGCAGTAGAAAAAAAAAAGTGCTCCAAAGTATGACTGTAATGTCAATGAGCTGAAGTCCTCTCTCCTGTCTGATTAGGATGCAGCGGCTCGCCTTCTGTCTGCAGTGAGTCACTGTTCTTCAGGATGGAAAACTGTTGTCAAAATTACTGTGAAAGAAATCCAGATGTGTGGAAAGGTAGCCGATATCCACTGTGGACATTCAAAGGGCGATCGGTGTTCTCTCCCCACGTCCGAGACAGCTCAGAGTCACTGATTCCGGCCGTGGCATTTTGTCCTTGTGCGTCGTCCCCCCCGTCAAAGTGCGCAAAGACAGACGGACAGCTGCTGTGGAAGTGGTCAGCAACAATGCCGCATTTTAGGACAAGCCTCCATGCTGCTGTCAGAGAAAATAAAATAAAAAATTTCAAACTACTCAAGCCAAGTCATCACTTACTATTTTCAGCACGTAACACAGCCCTAAGCACAGCAAGCGCTTCCTCTCACTGACTGGACTCCGGACACCGCATGGTGCATTAAACATTGTCGCTGCTCCTGTGGCAGCCAATGAATTTGAAGAGGTGGGAAGAGAAGGAGGGATTCAAAAGCCCCCGTGGGTATAGACTACAAATGATTGGTGGATCTCAGTTCACCGGTGGCGGATCTGTCTTTTTTCAAATATCACACTTCATTGTTGTGCGGGGCTACAATAAAGGAAACGGTGCTTTGACCACGGTCACCAACGGATGTGCTGAGACCAAGTCCAAGTGGTTTGAAATTTCAGTTAGACTGGGAGGAAGAGAAACAGACCAGTTAATTCACTTTCCCTCTAACTGAATAAATAATATCCACGTCTCCTTTTAAAAATTAGTGGCACAGTTAAAAAAGAAAAACAAAAAACACTTTGTACAAACAAACAGATAGTGTTGGGTTATTTTTATGCAACGACTTGCAAAAGTATTTATTGCATTTGACGTTATCCTATTTTGTACAATCAGAAAGTTTAATATGAATGGATTTTTATGTAATAGAGCATAAAGACGTAGACTAGAGCATAGTTGTAAAGTGAAATGCAAGTTCTTACTTTTTTTACGAAATCTGAAAAGTGTGGTGTGCATTTGGATTCCCCTTCTCAAAATACAGCAGAATGTTTTACCCCTTGGTATTAGCAAAGCAACTGTGGAACAGGCTGAAAGGGTTCCATTTGTGAACAGCAGATTTTTTATTTATTTATTTGTAAATCTTGAAATATTTTCAATTTGATTTTGGTTTGAACTTTCACTTCCTTTGCAACATGTGGGTCTGCTTTGATTTCTAAGCCATTAAGCATTTTTTCTGGCTATTTATTTTAGGTAACTTTCTCCTGAATGGTTAACATCTTCGAGTGTTTTGCAGCCTCAAACAGGTTGTCCTTCAGAATTGCCTTGTGTTTAGGTCCCTCCATCTTCCAATCAATTCTGATCAGTTTCCCTCTCTCTGGTCCGGAAAAAAACATAATTTCACCATGATGTTGTCACTACCATATTTCACAATAGTGATACTTTAGTGCACAAAATGCATTAATCAGATTGAATGTATTTGGGTTAAATAATGCAAATGTATCATTTATGTGAGCACAATTTCATTTAAGTTGATCTTGATGTGTTTATATTTACCAGGATTTATTCAATAAAGAAGCATGTCTGCACAGAGCATAAAGACAAATGCAGAAGCACCTATGTTTGTTTTGCGTTTTCTGAGTGCCGAAAATACTGAGGGATGAATCTGCGCTCTGTGCTAGATTTTAATCAGTTCAGTCTCCAACTGAACTGATCAGAAGTCACCAAGACTGTGAATGAGGGGATTTTCCACATGTGGCTGGGAAATCCCACAAGCCTTAGTGGTAGTTCAGCAGTACCATATGTGAGTTCAGTTCTGAGAGAACACATAGGTGAGATTTTTTTTAGATCAAGGTAACGCTGAAATAATTAGTTTCCTCAACTTCTTTGCTGACAAGTACATACAGAAGGCGCTAAACGGGATAACTATTCAGCTGTCTCTTGAGAGACAGCCTCAGCAGCTTTAGCAGGAATTTGATTGACACGACGGTCCGCCCACTTTCGAAGACTTACTCTGCTCAATGCAAAATGACCAGAGCTGGAGTAAAATGGGGCTGGATCTTCAGCGCAAAATAACTTTTTTTTTTTTCTTCTCCCTTTCGCTGCTCAGTTCTCACTCTCACTGCAAGCGCTCTGCTCAAGGCCAAACTTTGCTTTGATTAGAATTATCCTACATAATAATAAATTGTCATTATCGGTCTGTTCGGTAGATTTGTTTTTGTTAAAAATTAAAATGCAGATTAAATATTGTACAAAAGTAGGAATGACTACTAAAAAATTAATCAAGTATCTATAGGGAACATTGAAAGCAAAATGATTTATCATGTAAAAAATTCATAAATTCCAATTCTTGCTAAAACATGGGGCAGATGATAATAAATGATCAGGGCTGTTTGGGAGCTGAAAGAACCAGCTCTACTTTGGAAGTCGAGTCACAAGAACCGGATCTCTGAAAAGAGTCAGACTTTCCATCTCTAGTTCAGGGTGATGTGCCAATTTACTTTTCTGCCATAGGACAAAAAGTTAAGTCATGATGTCATCCGATCGTGCTTGTTGTGCCCCCTGAATGGCTTGTGGCACAATGTAAATATCTTATCACTTTTTTAAATAATGGCTTTCTTCTTGCCACTGTTCCAGGTTTATGGAATGCATGCATTATTTGCCCTGTTGAAAGATTTTTTTTCTTTTTATCTGCAGTTTTTTTTTTTTTTTTTCATTTATTTGTGACGTTATTGGTGCCCTTCTTTGTCATCATGAAGCCAAAACTCTAAGTCCTTCACAGAACACCTTTATTGCTTCATATTTATACTCTATTTACTAATCAACTCAATTCTAAACGCAGCTGTTTGTGGTGGATATAACTTAAGGGTTTCCCAGTGGCAGAGACTGAATACATATGTGTGTCAAACTTTTCAGATTTTCATTTAAAAAGAAAAAACAGAAAGCCATGGGTATTTTTCTTTCCATAAGTCTTTCTTTTCATGAAATCATGCTAAAAATACATAGAAGTTTATTTCAATGACATCTGGGAAGGTTCAAAGGATATCAACACTTTTGCAAGGCACTGAAACTAATGACCAGCATTACACACTTTTTTTTTCTGCATAAAACACAAGAACACATGATAACATCGTAGTCTTTAGACATTTCCTGAAACTGCTGCAAAAAGAAGTGTTTAGGGTGTGAGAAAGAAAGTAAAAAAAAAAACAGTTTGAAAAAAAAGTGTTTGGTATATTGCATGGAGGGTATATTGGCAGTGTGCTCATATATAAGGCATTTTCCTACGTGAACTCAAGAATGCCTGGAGAATGTATGCATGGAATTAGGTAGAGTTTTACCAAAGGTGTTGTTCACACATTCACTTCACAGCGGGATATTCTCCACTGGGGAGGCGTTCTCACAGCAGAATACTCTGCAGGCTGGTGCTGTGGGGTAGCACACAGAGAGCACAACATGATGGAGAAACCTGTGCAGCAGAAAAAAAAAAATTTGCAGTTGTATATTTGCAGCATGTTGGTGATGACAGATGCAGCTCCCCATGTCGCTGTTGTGATGAGTACTGATATCATCCCCACATGAATTTTCAGCATGTAATAATGGTTAAAAAAAAAGAAAGTCCATTCTCCTTCCAGTTTCCACTGTTTTACATATAACACAATATCTATCCCTATCAGACTCTGAAATTACTGAAATCATACTTCAAGTGACAAAAAAATACAATGCGGTCGACACTGTCATAATGTATTTAAATAGAAAGCACAAGAAAACCCAACAAACATCATTGTTCAATAGCTTGTTGGACAATTTTTAGCTGCAATAATTTAAAGTAATCATTTTCTATGTTTACTAAGTTGATACACTGTTCTGACAAATTTTAGTCCACCTGCCCACACTACTAATCTGACTAATTAGGGTTAGCATAAATGTATCCCCACAACAATGTAAGACTCATCTACAAGAATTTACATGTATTGAGATCTGGGTTTTTGCTAGGTCTGAGGATTTGGTCTTGACTGCAATACAAGCTCAAATAATGACCTTTTGTTCTGGTAGGAAGTTGTATATGTTTTCAGTAATTAAGTTCATTTGTGTAGGTCAAAACGGGGGAAAGCCTGCCTCATGTGTTCTTTTTAGCTACTGCAACTTAGCGATCTTAAGTTGTTTTGAAACATCAAACGTTGCAGTCAAGTAGATGATATGACTTTCACATCCACTTTGTGATGTCCGATTCGAGTGAAATTCTGCTGACATATTTCGTTTATGGTTACATTGCTGGTATGTACTGCACAAGTAATTATGTGAGATTGTTTCTGTCCTAGATGTAGCTTCCTAATGTGCTATTTGACTGCAAAATAAGTTTTCTTTGTTGTGTAATTTAACCGTAAGTTGAGGAATTACTTAATATGGCATCAGTAACCTAGATCTATACACATAGATGTTTGGCAGAAGCTCAGTATAAAAGTGCAATATATTCTGTACATATTTATATGTTTATTGTGTTTTTCACCCTTTTGATTGTTAATAAACTGCTGACAACGGTCTTTGGTCTTCAGAGTTTTAATAAGAGAAAAGTGTTAGCTTGCCTTTGCATGAGACATACAAAAGTAACAGGACATGTATGATAGTCAGCATTAGGAGTTTGGATGATTTGTTTTCAGCAAGCATGCCTTACATTGAGGTCATCTCTTCTTTGATCCCGCCGGTTCAATATACATTGCTGAAGGACTTGTGTTTCTTACCAACCTGGTTTGTGAAGCCTTATTATTTTGATTTTCTCCTTTTAACCCTTTCAGACAAGCTTTACTTTGTGTTATTTTTAATTGTGTCAGGAACTTCATTAATGCATTGAATGTAGGAATAATTTGACGAACTGTGACGGACATTTTGACCGTACTTTTCAATAACTTAAAAACATAGTTTTGTGTAAATGACATTTCATCTCTGCAATATTTCACTTGTACATACCTACATGCAACCCGCTTTGATATAAGTGTGAAAGTCAGAGCTAACATTGGCTATGATGGTTCTTTGAATACTACAGTATGCAGAGTCAAAAGTCTGTCTACATTTCATTCTCATTCCCAATAGATATGTTAGGACTACTTAAGTCCCAACATATCTATTCATTAATTCAGTTATCAATCAAATGATGATTATTGCTGGGGTTGTTGTAAAAGAATATTTTAATAATTGAATACTGTATCGAATATTTTTATGATTAATTAAAGAATCTCACTCTCTCTCAGCGCCATTCCTACCGTTCGCTCCAAAGCCATGATGACGTGGTTCCGACAGCAGAAATGCCGTCGTACTTCAACCATCGCGCCGCAAAATTAAACAATCCTTATTTCTCCCCAAACTCTCACAAATCGCCACACAATTCAATACCAT